CCCCCCCCCCCCGAAAACCCCCAAGCTCAACGAAGCTCCCTCACGAGGAGCTTTCGTGAAAAGGCAACCTCGAACCACAGCTACATATTATGAAAATATGTTTCCCGACACTCTCACCTCCCCGGTTCATGATTCCCCCCCTAACTCCTTGCCTGCTCCCCTGCAGTCGTCTGTCCCTGCCGGCTGTATGTAAAGTGTGAAAAGCAGAGGCTTCCACTTAACTCTCGGTCACAAAGCGGTGGTGCTTCTAATCGTACACCCAGCAAGCAGGCAATGCAACAAGCAAGGCAAGGCAGAGCTGAGATCGTATCAGAGCTAAACACCGTGAGTTTGACTACACAGCTAGACGACAGCACGGGCACTACCCTAAGTGCACGGGGATCTTTTGCTGGACCCTAGCGAGGCTGGGACTTGAGCAGTCAAGCTGCAGGTGAAACAAAGTTGACAGGAACCTAGCAAGTATCCAAGGTGCACATATACGCAAGTCGGTAACAAATCACACCCCCCTCGACGCGAGCTCACGCGTAAGAAGAGCGGAGTTTAAAAGCGTTATCCGACTCTGGATGTGCATCGAGCCATACCTCTTCCGGACAAGCACGCTTGAAGCTTTAAAGCCATCAGGCATGGGTCGATTCCTGGATCTTGATCGTGTCAACGCTTCACGCTGTACATGGCAGCATGCGTTCAGACTCGATACTGCACCTTCATCGTGGCATAGCGGATAGTATCGCAGACTTCGGGCGGTTCATCGGATCCAGCGCTTTTATCGACGCGCTCAGAGCAGCGGCTCTGCAGCGTCATGTGTCAGTGAGACAAGAGAGACACATAAGGAAAATTGTCAACAATGCTCACAAAAGGATCAACCGGATCCGCTTGGCATGACGTCATACATCACTGTTTGAGATCGTCGGTCGCAACTAAGGTAGAGGTAGAGCTACTTCATCGTCGTGTTCATGCACGGGGACCTGGCGTCCTAGATCGATCTCCTCCCTTTCCTCTTCCAGGTCCTTTATCGATGTGGCCTTTATCTCCTTTTCTGTTATCGGGCTCCTTTCCCTTTCCTTTCCCGCCTTTATGGTTTTTGGGTGTTCCTTTGCTCTTGCCCTTAGCCTTACCACGTCCCTTAGCCTTAGCAGTGGTAGATGGATTAGGTGCGCGAATGTCACCTGGGTCATCGAGCCTTCCGCCGGGGTTGCCAACTCGAGCACCTTTACCCCCACGCGGAGCCGGGCTAGAAGCGGCAGAGGATGCAGGAACATCCATTTCACTATCTTCATCGACTGAAGCGCCACTGCAGAGCCCTGAAAGAATAGGCTTGGAGTGGGTCATCGACCCCTCGAGAGCATAGCCTGCGGCTTTCGCCCCGGTTGCCACCTTTCAGCTCTGCGGGCCTTGGCGGGTGGATTGGAAGGAGCGCGGGCTGCGCCGAGGGTTGGGTTGATCAACTCGGTTTCCGCCTGAGAGGTAGCAATTGATCCCCTGGATGCGTGCGATCTGGCATCGATCGCTGGTTCCAGACCGGCCGCTTCAAGATTCCTAAGTTCGTGCGGATCGGCACCGAGTTTTCGCAGAATGGCTTCAGCCTGTTGTTTGATGATTTTCATCGTTTGCTCTTCATTGGCCATGCGAAGAAGGGATTGCACAGACTGATGTCCAATGCCATCATCCGGGATTCGGCTATGCATTCGAATCGGCTGATCGATGTTCAGCTCTTCTGCGAATGCAGTGCGACCAGAAACGCACAATACGTCATGACCCGGGGCCTTTATCGTCTGCCGTCGTGTTCCAAGAGGATCGGCAGGAGGACTCTTTGCCGGAGGAGGTGGCATGTCGGGATTGGTTCCGCCAAGGTCTACCCTATGAACGGAACGACTGCGAGTCGGTTGTTCACGCTCGGCTTGGGCCACATCGTCCGAATCCATGTTCTCATCTTCGTCATCAGGGACAGGGATGTCGGCACGAGCGGTTCCCTCCTTGCCGCCGGGCTTCATCTCGGGCGTCACAGGTGCCTGTGAGCCCAGTGGATCATCGGCGGGCTCGTAGGGCATAAACGTTTTGTTTTCCAGCTCTTCATCAGTGGCCACGAAAACATCCGCCAGCGTCGTGATCAAGCCTCTGGCGAACGTACTCATTCATTCGCTTCTCTTCCGCTGCTCGTTCCTCCATCGATCGCTCATCGAGAACGTTGGTGGCTTCATCGCCAGGAAGGAAGCCCGGGTCCATGTAACGCGGCACCGGGGTGTAGCCGAGGGGATCAAGACTCTTCCATGGAGTCTCGTGTATCTCCTGCTCGGCGCGAGCATCACCAACTTCATCACACTCCGATACGTAGCTAGGTTCTCCTTTGACAGGAATACCGTACGTTGCAATCGAAGTGATCTTGGCGAGGTGCATCGACAATACCTCAGAATCGACTCGAAGGTACTTTCGGAACTTCTCGAGGTTACGAATTGCACCGTGGAAACGATCCAGTGCTTCCGAGGGTCCTATGGGCCCTTAGGTGAAGAACCGCAATATCCATGCGTCCGTGCTCTCTTCCCATGAGTTCGAGCCATTCTCCATCGATGTTGGCCGGGTTTTCGCCTCTGGGAACGAAATACGGATGCAAGTACCTCTTCTTGAGGCATTTTCGATACGCCTGTCGGCAATGGATCGACCACTGGGCATAGTAGCACAGAGGTTTCTCTCGGCAGTTGAGGAAGAGCGACCCGTAATGTTTAACGACGAGCGCTGCTTCTGGCTTATTGAAGAAAGCCTCAACCGTTAGGATTGACTCCCGCCGGTCATTCCCGCGACGAGTCGCTCAATCGACAAATCAAGTCGGATGGCACCCTGAGACGCACCTCGTACGTTGCGCTTGAAGTTCTCGATCACATCCGGGGTGATCGTTTTATCCACACATTTGATCGGTGGGATACCAAAACAAGCCGTTGTTCGGCGTTCCTCGGCTAGTGATCGTGACGCCGGAATGTTGCGAAACGGCTTCAAGCTTTTGTAGGGAATGATCCTGAATTCCCTTCCCCTTTGAGCAATCAGCACATCATTCATCCACTCCGTAAGCATCATGTGCGACGGAATGTGGAGCGGATCATCAAGCTCCAATCGGTGCATTCCATCATGGTAGTGAATCGGATTACCACATGATGAGCAAACATGTAGCCCGCATGGGCAGTCATTGCTGCAAGTTGGGCAGGAGACCGTAGAAAGATCCATCGTGGGACTCCACTCGTTCTTCTTCGCGTCGGGTCCAACGCCCAACTTGGGGCCAGCAACGTACTTGAGCGCGCTGTTGAAGAGGATAGAGCCTGTATTGGACTGTATCGACAAGGTAAGCGAGGGCGAGACAGGCAAGCGGAATATTTATCGCGTAATACCCAGCACCGTAAAATTATGCGGGTTGTAGAATCGGGCGATGATGCGAAGATCGATGGCGCATGCGACCATCCTGTTGGATGTCATGCCTTCGTGGAATGTCGAGCAGAGGTTTGCTTCTTAGACAGAGCATTCAATGGCATGAAACTGCGGGGACCAAGCAAGCACATAAAAACACCAGACGTGCTTTTAGAGTCAGTACGGTCACCAGCCAATTCGGCATCACAGTACAACGCAAGCTCCAACACGTCGGGATTATCGCCAATCCACCCATAAAGGTTCAAATCGAGGGTGGAATTAATGTAACAGACCAGACGATGGAGCTTCAATGTCCTTCCCATTTAGTTATGAGACTGGCCAATGCCTGTACAGGACGAATCAGATCGTATCGTCCCATGCGAGCCCCATACAGAATCTTGATCTGTAAAACCCCAAAAGGAAAAGCTCACTTTCTCACTCAGCCAGGGCTTCGCGGAGTAGCTTCGGTCTCATGCCTGCTTCAGCATGATCTGCACAAAAGAGAGTGTACGTGTACACGTGACATGCCTATACACGAGTGTGATATGTGGGGTCCATGCTCTTACACGCCCCCTCAGACGCGCATGCTTTGCAGCGTATCTGGACTATCACCCATCACACTCCTAACTGCTTTCTGGTCTGGTTTTCAGACTGCGTGGGCTTCTTGAAAGCTCCTAAAGTCTTGAAAGAAAACTGTAACTGGGCTGAGGTTTCGGAAACAAGTCTGTACAGCGACTACACTAGGTAGGGCTCGTAGTTGAAACTCAGTTCCTGAGCCGCTCGCAGCGCACCACAAGGAGCAGCAAGCAGCGGTCGTAGTAGAGCTCGGTCAGGACCCGTACAAAGCCCTGTAGGCGCGTAGTAGCAGCACTGGCACGGGACTTTTCCAGCAGCCAAAGCGTCACGCATGCTCAGCGACCGAAAAACTCTTCGCTGAGCCACGGTGGTTTCTGCAGCCTCGCCTGTGAAAAGCGTAGCCGCGGGCACCAGCAAGCCAAACCTCGGTGTTCAGCTCGGCCTCCGTAAGTGCACGCT